AATGGATTCTTTTTAACAATCGCAAACATTCGGCACAATGGTTGGATAAAGATGAAATGCCAAAACACAGTACAAAACCAAATATTCATCAAAAGTAGCTAATGGCGTCTGTTTGGTGGTCCAGCACTGGTATTATCCATGACAGCTTCATGAAACCTGGTTAATGAGTGGATGTGTACTGCAACCAATTGGACAAAATGATGAAGATGCTTGCAATTAAGCAGCTGAGAATGGTCAATAGAGATAGGACAATCCTCTTGCAAGATAATGCTTGACTACATGTCACACAAACAATGCTGCTCAAACTACAGAGGCAGGACTTGGAAACTCTCTGTCATCCACCATATTCACCTTGCACCAATTGACTTACACTTCTTCCAGGCTTTGGACCACTTCTTACAAGGAAAAATATTCAATTCTCAACAAGCTGTGGAAAATGCCTTTTGTGATTTCATTGCCACTCACTCTCCAGGCTTCTTCACAGCTGGCATAAACAAGCTACTGTTAAGATGGCAAAACAATGTTGATAGTTTAGGCACATACTTTGATTAATTGTACTGCTTCTTGTTTGAGATTAATAAACTACACTTTTGATCTGAAATCAGACATTTCATATTTAATGACCTAATAATAATACTGTACTGTATACTTAAAATTTTACTAAGAGAGTAAAGATTATGTTTTCTTTTCTTTTTTTTTTTTTTTTTTTTTTTTTTTTTTTTTTTTTTTGAGACAGAGTCTCACTCTGTTGCCCAGGCTAGAGTGCCGTGGTGTCAGCCTAGCTCACAGCAACCTCAAACTCCTGGGCTCAAGCGATCCTCCTGCTTCAGCCTCCTGAATAGCTGGGACTACAGGCATGCACCACCATGTCTGGCTAATTTTTTGTATATATTTTTAGTTGTCCAGCTAATTTCTTTCTATTTTTAGTAGAGATGGAGTCTCGCTCTTGCTCAGGCTGGTCTCTAACTTCTGACCTCTAGTGATCCTCTCGCCTCGGCCTCCCAGAATGCTAGGATTACAGGCGTGAGCCACCATGCCTGGCCAAGATTTTGTTTTCACTGAAAAAAAAAAAAGTATGTGAGGTGATAAATGTTATAATTAACTCGATTGCGGTAACCATTTCACAATGTATATGTATATCAAATCATCACATTGTACATTTTAAATATATACAATTTTATTTGTCAATTATACCTTAATAAACCTGAAAATATAAAATAAAAAGTAAATGTCTAAGATGCTCAGTAAACCCCAATCACAAACACGAAGAAAACTATGCCAAGTTAGCTCAAACATTCATCTCAAGAGGAAAAGAAAGAAAGAAAAAAAAAGAAAACTATGCCAAGGTTCATAATTAAACTGCTCAAAACTAGTGATAAAGAGGAAATTTTTAAATCAGCCAGAGGGAAAAAACCATCTTACTCACAAAAGAACAAAGGTAAGTATGCCATCAGAGTTCTTACTGGAATCAATGCAAGTGAGAAGACAAAAAGCAACATCTTTAAAATATTTTTAAGCCTTTCAAACTAAAATTATATAACCAGGAAAATTTCTGTAAAAAATGAGGGCAAAATAAAGACTTTTTCAGACACACAAAAGATGAGATAATTCATCACTGGAAGAAATTTGTTAAATGAAGCCCTTTAAGGAGAAGAAAAGTGATACCAAATGGAAATATCAGTCTATACAAAGAAGTGAATGGCACTAGAACTGGTAACCACAGCTTACATATAGTAATATTTTTTCTTATTATTTAAATCCCATTAAAAGATAAGTGACTTTTTAAACAAAAATAGTAACGATGTATTGTGGAGTTAATAACATACGTAAAAATACAATGTATGGCAGAAATAGCACAAAATGCAGGGGAGGAGTAGAAGTATACTTTTGTAATGTTCTCATACAGTATTTGAAGTAGCATAATACTACTTAAAGATCTGTGAAAGGATAAGGTTATACACTATAAACCCTAAAGCAACAACTAAAATAACAAAGAGTTATAGCTACATAATCATAAAACATATTCAATTAATATAAAAGCAGATAAAAAGAGAAGAAAAAGGAAATGAAGACTAGATGGGATAAATAGAAGGCAAATAGCAAGATGGTAGATTTAAACCAAACCATATAAATAATTACATTAAATGTAAATGATCTAAACACTTCAATTAAAAGGCAGAGTTTATCAGATAAAAAGATCAAGGCCCAGCTTTACGGTGCCTACAAGGAACACATTTTAGCCTCTTTCCATCATGTGAGGATAAAAGAAGTTGACATCCTGCAACTTGAAAGAGGGCTAAAAAAAAAAAGAAACACATTTTAAATATCAAGACACAAACAGCATAAAATTAAAAGGATGGACAAATCTATACCTGATAACATTAATTAAAACAAAGCTAGAGTGGCTGTGTTAATGCCAAAGTATATTTCAGAGCATAGAATATTTCTGGGGATGAAGATAGTCATTTCATATTAACAATGTAATCGATTCATCAAGAGCACATAAAAACTTAAGTATTTATGAACCTAGTGACAAATCTTCAAAATACATGAAGCCAAAAGCAATGGAACCTTAAGGAGAAATAGATAAAATCCACAATTATAGTCAAATACTTTATTACCTCCTCTCAATAATTAATAGAAAAAATAGACAGAGAATCAGTAAAGGTTTAGAAGACTTAAACAACACTATTAACCATTGAGATCAAATTGACATTTATAGAACACACCACAGAACAACAGCACATTCTTTTCAAATGAACTTGGAATATTTACCAAGATAAACCATGTTCTGGGCCATAAAACGAGTCAGTCTTGATATGCTTAAAAGTATTCCTACTCACACAAAGTATGTTCTCTGACAGTAATGGATTAAGTTAGAAACCATGACAAAAGATATCTGCAATGTCCTCAAAATATTAGGAAACCAAATAACACTCTTCCAAATGGCCTATGAATCAGAGAACAAACTTTAAAAGCTAATTAAAAGTGTTTTGAACTGAAAGAAAATGAAAACAAAACATGTCAAAACTTGTGGGATGCTACTAAAGCAGGACCTAGAGAGAAATATATAATATTAATTCTCTAGATTAGAAAAGAATAAATGTCTCAAATCAATTATTTCCACTTTCACATTAAAAACTAGAAAAAAAAAAGGCAAGTTAAACCAAAAGTAAGCAGAATAAAGGAAATGATGTAAATAACTGGGTAAATTCATCACATAGAAAGTAGAAAACCTGCAGAGAAAATTAATGAAACCAAAAGATGATTCTTTGAAAAAATTTACAAAATTAACTCTTTAGCCAGACTGATATGGATAAAAGGAGAGAAGACACAAATTACCAATATCAAGATTGTGAGAAGTAGAACTGCTACAAATTCTATTGCTATTAAAAGAATAATGAAGGAATGTTATGAACAACTTTAAATAAAAAGTTAAAACAAATTTTAAACAAATTCAAAACATAAATGAAATGGACAAATTTTTTGAAAGACACAAACTACCAAAGCTTACTCAAGAAGAAATAGATAACATGAATATACATATCGATTAAAGGAATTGAGTTTGTTATTAAAAACTTCCCCATAAAGAAAACTGTTATGGCTGGCTGTGGTGGCTCATGCCTGTGATCCTGGCACTCTGGGAGGCTGAGGCGGGAGGATTGCTTGAGCTCAGGAGTTCGAGACCAGCCTAAGCAAGAACGAGACCCCCATCTCTACTAAAAATAGAAATAAATTAGCTGGTCAACTAAAAATAGAAAAAAAAAATTAGCTGGGCATGGTGGCACAGGCCTATAGTCCCAGCTACTCAGGAGGCTGAGGCAGGAGGATCACTGGAGCCCAGGAGTTTGAGGTTGCAGTGAGCTATGATCATGCCACTGCACTCTAGCTGGGACGACAGAGTGAGAACCTATCTCAAAAAACAAACAGACAAAAAGAAAATAAAATTATTGGCATAATTTATTTTTATGATGATATGTAATACGATATATTTCTATTTAATCTATTTTTATGCCTGAAGAATTTATTCAAAAATGTACTGAAATAAATGAACCTTAGTTGTTGCTCTATGAATTAATATCACACGTGTTTGGGGACAGGATTTGTCTTAGGAGTTTTTCAGAGCTTTGCCCTGAAGGAATATGTGAACGTGTTGGTTTGCATTTCGAATGCTGTTACACTCGGAAGGGCGTCTCTGAAAGGCAGTGCGGCTTTATCCCACGAGGCGCCGCGTTTCTCAGACCTAAAGGTTTGGATTTGCTTTGTAAAGCACAAGTGAATCTGTTAAAAACTATAGGCTGAGAGCTGACGATGGAGTGCCCTCCAGAACAAACAGCTTCCCGGAAACGACAGCTTCTCGAATGGCTAAAAGCAAAGCTTTTGTTTAAACCACTAGACTACCTGTCTCCATTCACAATAACCTAATAAATATGGAGCCTACATATCTCTGTTTAACCCCTCTGTTTAAATGATAAACTTACCTTAGAATTTAGAAATTAACCTTTGAAAGACTTTGTAACCGTTTGCTCACGTAAATAGAGTTAGTTAAAGAATCTCTAAAAGCCTTCTGTAAAAGCCTTTTGAAAATCTGTTAACCTGAGAGGAACTACCTGCTGTTATGTAAATCTGTTACCCCTAACAATTGTTCACTATTTCCTATAAGTCACCATGTAAGACCTCATTCAGGGCTTTTTGAGACCCACGGAGGGGTCTAAGCCCCCTGAGCTCCCGCTTTGCCTATAATCTTTATAAACTTATAAAACTATATCTTTGTCTCAGTGTATTCTTTTATTTCTTCCATTTTCCATTTTTCTCTATTATTTTCTTATCCCTTGCAACTCTAACGAAGGGACCCGGTTTTCTGCGGGGAACACTGGCCACGTTCCCGGCACTTAGAAGTTACTACCTTTTATTTTTACAGATACCAAATTAGAAGACAAGGGTTGTTACTTATCTCTAAAAATCAAAGATATTTCTAATTGTTTTCAATTTTGTCACAGAATAAAGGAAGAAGAAGCAATATGGTGATCTGGACAGAAAACGAAGTTTACCTTGGATATACTTCTCTTGAATTTGTCAGAATAGTAACTACGGCAGAACTGAAAATACTTCTAAATCTATCACCATCCGCTACTCTGACAGTACACAATATTGAGTATACAGGACACCCTCTGGAACTTGCCGTGTTATTAAATTATTGCATTATGTGTACTGTCACCAAAAATATTTTTATAGTGATATATAATGAAGATACAAAACAGTGGGTGTTCCAAGACTTTATGTTAGATGTCCCTATCGACAGTTTCTTAGTTCCACATTTTCTGTTTTCCGCAACACCGGAATTGGTAATGCATGACAAGCACAGGATCTACTATTGTTACCATAATTTCACTGTTACTGGGGTTTTACAAACACCTACAGAAAATGGAAATCTATCAATGTTATCAAATGACAGTATTATTCATGAAGTTTTTGTAGGTAAGGCATTCTCATAACTCTCATTCTGCTAAAATTATTCTAGATTTCATTGTAGACATCTTCCTTAAAATGATGCAACAATTTTTAATGCACCAAGATGTGATGCTTTGGGTTGTTAAACGTCAACTTTTACCACTGAAAAATGAATAGATTTTAAATTCAGCTAATGTTCACTATGATCTCACATAGCAAAAGGACAAACTCAAGTTTGTTTTTTTTTTTGGTGTTTCACTTTGTTCGATCAGCAGATTCTAACTAACCAACTTATACATACATCAGCAGCGTAGGAGGTGCTGTGTTATTGTATTAGTTTCCCAGGGCTCCCATAACAAAGTACTGCAAACTAGGTGGCTTAAAATAACAGAAATTTATTGTTTCACAGTTCTGGAGGCTAGAAGTCAGAGACCAAGGTGTTTACAGGGCCATATTCTCTCAGAAACCTGTAGGGGAATCTTTCTTTGGTCCTTCCCAGTTTTGGTGGCTTGCTGGCAAATCCTTGCCATTCCTGGCTTGCAGCTGCCTCATTCCACCTCTGCCTTCTCATTCCATAGCCTTCTCCCTGTGTCTCTGTCATCACACGACCATCTTGTTATAAGGACAGCAGTCACTGGATTAGAGGTCTTTCCTACTCCAGCGTGACTTCATCTTAACTAACCACATCTATAATGATCCTATTTCTAAATAAGACCACATTCTGAGGTGGTACTAGGGGTTAGAACTGCAACGCATCTGTTGGAGGGACATATAGTTCAACCCATAGCAGATTTAGATAGATTTGTGTTGAAATCTACAAACAAGTCATTTACTCTCTCCAAGCTTCTGTTTTCTAATCTACAATATAGGACTGGCATGTTGAGTAGATAAGGGATTGTATGTAAAAAGCTTAAACAATGCTTGACAGGTGGCAAACCTTCAATTAATAGTAGTTATTCTTGATTTTATTATTCATTCCCTCTTGAGTCCATTTTAGAAATTTGTATTTTCCTAGGAAATCATTTATCTAGATTTTCTAATTTATTGGCAAAAATTTCCCTTGTTAACTCTTAGATTTCTTATGTGCTGGTAATTATATTCACTTTCTCATTTATAATATTGTTTGTGCCCCACCCCATTGTTAGTTTGGCTTGCAAGAGATTGTTTATTATTTTTAGGGGTTTTTGTTTTTGTTTTCCTTTTAAAAAGCTATCTTCATTTTATTTACCAAATCTACTTTTTATTTAATTCCTTACTTTCTGCTTTTGTCATGATCGATTCTTCACTTCTGCTTTCTTTTTCTAACTTTAGTGGTCTATTGCCTGCTCCTTAAGTTAAATGATTAGTTCTTTTATTTTTAGTCTTTCTTGTTTTCTAAGCATTTAAAGCTATAAACAAGCATAAGGCTATGAACTTTTCTCTGTATGTCTTTAGCTGCACCCCATGAGATTTTACACATGGTGATCTTATCATCATTATCTTTTAAATCATTCTTAATTTTCATCTAACCTTCATATTTAATATAAAAGTCATTTAATAATGTTTAACAATGTTTTTAACCAGCGATGTGATCAGCAAAAGAGAAGGTGCATCAAATCCAGATTTATGGGATCAGAAAAATAGGTGTGGAGGAAATTACTTCTAAACTGAAAACCAGGGGTAGAGTATATATGTTAGAAAAATAATTTAACTGTTTAGGATAGGAGATTGAGGTGGTATTCCAAGTTGAGAATATAGCATGTGCAAAGATCTGCAGGTGAACGAGAACACAGCAAGGTCAGGGAACTGAAATTAGGTCAGCATGACTAGATAATGGAGGGTAAGGCAAAAAGTGGCAAGAAATGAACCTGGGTAAAGAAAAGAGAGATCACATTGTGAAGCAATTTGGACATTATATATAATCCAGAAACAATATATTGTTTTGTTTCATGAGGTTTTACATTTCGTATGTCATTACACTGTGTATATCCTGCAGTTACTCTATCATTAAACATAGAGATATATTTTATTATATCCTCCACCCGCATGTTTCTCCCTTTTGACCTCGTGATCTGCTTGCATATATTTCTGATTAGGTAAATTTGAGTAGAATATAATTTATGATCATTTGTAAAGAGGTTACTGATTTATTCAGATTCCAAATGTAAGCTGGGTAAGCACAACACAACCTGAACCTCCCTGACTCTATGAATTCACCTTCGTCCTTTCAGCCAGTCCTCTCTGAGTGTTGTCTTTTGAAGAGTAAAGAAGGTACACCCCTAGGCTGTACACAGAGAATGTCGTATCTTGAAAGGAAGCTGTGTAGTCAGCTAGTCCAACTGTTCATTTTACAGATAAGTCAACAAAACCAAAGAGGTTAAGAGAGTTGCCCTCTGTGAGCCACTCTGACTTAGGCAGAATACTCTATTAGGCGGAGAAAGTTGCTTATCTGCTAAGAGTGAACCTGCAGAGGTAGGCTATGCTTTACACTACTCCTGCCCCCGTCACCCCTATTTCTTCATCCCAATTGTATTAGTCTTCAAGGGCTGCCATAACAAAATACCAGACTGGGTGACTTAAACAACAGAAATTTATTTTCTCACATTTCTGAGGGCTAGAAATCCAAGATTAGGTACTGTCGGGATTGGTTTCTGGGGTGAGGCTTCTATTCCAGTGTTTCTTTCTCTTCTTGTAAGGACACTGGTCCTATTGGATCAGGACCCTCTGCTTATAATCTCGTTTAACCTTAACTGCCTCCTTAAAGGCCCTATCTCCAAATGTGGTCACACTGGGGATTAGGGTTTCAACATAAAAATTTGAGGGGGACACAATTCAGTCCATAACCAACACTTTCTAATAATACTATTCCTGCCATGCTCATCCTCATCATTACTTAATACACTTATTCTAGCTCTTTTCTCTATGTAAATGATGTGATATATAAAAGTGATATAATAAATATAAGGAGAAAATGCATTCAATAAGAAAAATGAATACTCTGCACTGAAGTGAGAGAGAAGTTCTCCAATTTAGGGTGAAGTTACAGGTTCAAGCCTGCACACTCAAATTTTCTCTAAGTACATAAATACTTAATCATTATAAAAGAAATTCTTTTGGTTAAAAGTACACTTAAATAAAACAGCGTGATTTATGGTTAGTTAGAATAACACAAACTTTTCTCTCTTTTTACCAGATTATTATGGAAATATTGTGGTGAAAATGGAAAATAATATAATATTTTATTTCAAGATGAGTATTACAGATGCAATAAAGCTGCATGTATGGGTAAACAGCACAATAAGAACCACCTTTCTCTTAAGAACATCTGGTCATATATATCTCCTGCATGCTTTCGACAATGGCACGATACAAGCACAGGAATATCCCTTAAAGCTGGAAGCACAAAGTATAGCGTTCAAGACAAAAGACAAATGCCCATACACTGCATTTAATAATAATGTTGCTCGCATTTTTTACTTTTTGGACAAGAGAGATATCCTGAATATGTGGACTCAATTAGTTTATCCAGAAAATGTTGGTCTGTACACGATTGTGGAACTCTATGGCCCAAAAATATTGAAAATACAACAGTATACTCACTATGAAATTGCCTTTGGACACTGCACTAAAACTCTGGTAATTTAATATTTTAAATTTCTTTGATTTTAATAAATATAAAAGTATAATATAAACATTTTTAATAAGTGGATTTGATTTCCCTTCTAGGTTCAGCTGGGGAAATGTTGAGGACTATGTTTTTATTTTTTTATTTTTATTTTTTTGAGGCAGAGTCTTGCTCTGTTGCCCAGGCTAAGAGTGCCATGGCGTCAGCCTAGCTCACAGCAACCTCAAACTCCTGGGCTCAAGCGATCCTCCTGCCTCAGCCTTCCAAGTAGCTGTGACTACAGGCGTGCACCACCACGCCCAGCTAATTTTTCTATTTTTAGTAGAGACAGGGGGCTCACTCTTTTTCAGGCCAGTCTCAAACTCCTGAGCTCAAGCAATCCTCCTGCCTCGGCCTCCCAGAGTGCTAGGATTACAGGCATGAGCCACCATGCCCGGCCCCTATGAGTTTTTAATAAATAATAATGTAATAAGCCATTAATTCTCAAGCCACAATTTTTGCTTTTAGTACCCAAGGCCTCTTTGCCACCTAAAAACACATTCCTTCAAAACTCCTTGATTGTCAATTGCACTGTTCATTTTCTTTTTTTTTTTTAATGGATGGCTTTTCTGTAGACTTCTGTTATCTCTTGTAGTATAATAAACTACCTCAAAACCTAATTCCTTTACACAATGACCAATTCTATGGGGCAACAATTTGGGCCCTGACTAGCTGGGCAGTTCTGCTGGTTTCATCTGGGTTCATTGATGTGGCTGTAGTGATCTGGCAATTCATCTGTAACTGGATGTCCTCAGATAGCCTCATTAGTCTGAGGGGCCTCAGATGGAACACTTGTCTCTGCTCCATGTGGCCTCTTATCCTCCAGACTGGACCTGGCTTTTTCATGTGGCAGTCTCTTTATGCATTTATGACATACCTTTTTCTTAATTTTTTTCAATATTTCTAGGCTACACGATTTGTGAGTTTTTTTCTAAATTTTTGCAAATCTCAAAAAAACTTTCTGATATATTTATTGAAAAAAACTCCACGTATAAGTGGACCAATGTGGTTCAAACTAGCATTGTTCAAGGGTCAACTGTATATCTGTCCATTTGCAACTTACCCCCTCAAAATACTAGTTAACCCATCAAAATATATAAATGACCAATGACTATGAAACATCAAAATTTGCATTTTTAATAAAATGCTGGCTCTATCGCTTATTACCAGATGACATTGAGCAAATTTTTAAATCTCTCTTTGCCTTAATTTTCTCATCTGTAAATTGGGGATAATAATAATAATAGTACATACCTCGTAAGATTTTTATGGGGATTAAACGAGTTAATATACATAAAGGACTTAGGAAAGCGCCTGGCACACGCACTGTGTGTATGGTTACTGCAGCTACCAACACTATTACCGCTGCCATCCTACTGTCACTGTCATCTCCATATTTCATCCATTCTAAGGCACATTTTTTTTACATTTAACATCTCCGAAATCAGGATGAGTCTTATGGCATTTTAGATTTAATGAATCACGATATTATTATTATAGTACCTTGCTTATATGATGCAGATTGGGTCACTATAACTTCACAGACTAATTATTGCCTAGTATGATGATAAGGATCATCATTTCTTTTTGTAAAAAAAAAAAATGAATATAACACCCATATGCAAAAGTGGATAAAACATTTATGAATAATTTAGCAAATTATTATAAACAAAACACCCGTGTAATCACCATTCAAATAAAAAAATAGAATATTAGAAGCACCCAAAGGCCCTCTTGTATCTTCCCTGATCATAATCTTCTCCCTCTTCCAAAACCTAAACACCAGTCTGACTTTCGTAGTAATAATTTTCTTGCTTTTCTTAATAGTCTCATCATCTGTTAATACGTATGCATCATTGAATAATATAGCTTAGGTTTGTCTATTTTTGAACTTCATATGAATGGAATCATTACATATATGTTAAACACACATACATACATAATATACATGTATATGTATTTATGTCTTCCTTTTTTCTTTGAATATTATGCTTGTGAAAGTCCATGTTGTTTAGTGTAGCTGTAATTCCTTCATGCTCACTTCTCTATAGTATTCCTCTGTATGAATATACGACAATATATGCTTATTTATTTTACTGTTGATGAACATTGGGGTGTTTCTGTTTTGGGGCTACTCTGAACAATGCTACAATGAATATTTTAGTATATACCTCTTGACAAATACATATAAATATTTGTATTTAACTTTTATGTGAGATTCTTGGGGAAGATGTAATTTCCATTTATAATTCTATAACATTTTATTATGAAAAATTTCAAGCATACAGAAAGTTGAAAGTATTTTGCAATTAACACCTCTACCTAGATTCTACATTAACATTTTACTATACTTGCTTTCTTATATATCTATACATCTGTCCATCCACCAATCAATCTTGCTTTACAAGTGTTCAACATTATTATATATCCTAGTGAAGGCATTTTACCTGCCTGGATGTGGAAAACCAAATGCTACTAAAGTGAGATCCCCATCCCCAATTTTCCTGCTTTAAATAAACTTTTTAATTTTCTTTTTCAGACACTAACATTTTCTCAGAATATAAATTATGAGGGAGTAGATAATTACTTCCAGTTGCAGTAAGTATGACTTTTATTTTTTTTATTTTTATTTTTTATTTTTTTTGAGACAGAGTCTCACTCTGTTGCCCGGGCTAGAGTGCCGTGGCATCAGCCTAGCTCACAGCAACCTCAAACTCTTGGACCCAAGCGATCCTCCTGCCTCAGCCTCCTGAGTAGTGGAGACTACAGGCATGCGCCACCATGCCCGGCTAATTTTTTCTATATATTTTTTAGTAGAGATGGGGTCTCGCTCTTGCTCAGGCTGGTCTCAAACTCCTGACCTCGAGCGATCCTCCCGCCTCGGCCTCCCGGAGTGCTAGAATTACAGGCGTGAGCCACCGCGCCTGGCCAGTAAGTATGACTTTTAAAAGAACTTAGCATTAAATATGCTACTCGGGTTATTGATTTGTAGGTATTTATTTAAATGGCCTCATATCTGTTTAAATATCCAAATTTCAAATTCCTTTAAATGTCTGGATAGATGTAAAACTAGTATTTAAGTGTATAAATATAAAGTACTCCTTGTAGTTTAATGGAAACATGACCTATCTGAAAGTTCTCATTCATCCAAATAAAGATGCAAAAAATGGGTTATTTATTAATTCAATAATTTTCAAGCATGTTGTGTCCACTAATCCCCATCTCAAAGTTTCTATGTACTATCATTAAGCAAAAACAAGAACTCTAATACCACAGAAAGTCTTTAACTGTGAGTAAAATCAGATGAAACATCATGTTTGACTCCCGGAATAAGGTAGCACTTAAGCATTTAATTTCTGAAGGAAGACAACCAACTTGGAATCCTATGTTAAGGCATTTATATGGTTATCATTACAGCCTGACAATATTTTCTGGGAAAATAGCATTTTTTTTTCTAGGAAAAAGTTTCATTTTTCTTTAGTCTGCTACTCCAAGTGAATTTGAGTACCCGCTCATGCCAAGCGCTTTTTAGGTGTTCAAAATAGGTGGTGAACAAGGAAGATAAAGTACTGGTGTCATGAAACATATCTCCAGTGGGAGAAGACAAACAGCAAGTAATCAAATAAACAATATAATTCCAAATACAGATAAGTGCTATTAAGAAAACAGAATGATGTCATAGAGTCTGATCAGGAAGGGTAGGGAGAAAATGCCACTTTAGACACAATAGTCTAAATTGAATAGGCTCAACTCGTTCCTTTCCCCTTCATCCATAGACTTTTTGCTTTATGCTTCTAATGGTGTGGGTTCCTTTGAGTATTTTTGGTTTTGTGGATATTTACTGAGATTTCTGTTGCTATAGAATGCACATAAAGTTGTCCAGGATTTTTTTCGTGTTTGTTTATCCCCAGTGTTTTCAAAAAGAAAAAACCCTAGCAGGGGTGGGGTATGAATCAAGCTTTCAAAATGTCTCCTTCCATTATTTTTGAGCCCTCACATTTTGCCTGAGCATAAAATGATTCATGTGTACATTTTAGTTGAGAAAGGCATTATGTCTGACCTCCCTTTCAATTCCAGTCAGATCAAATTATGCAGCTTTATGTGGTTCAGAAAACTAATTTTACAACTTCTTCTTTATTGTTCCAAAGTTGTTATAGATAGAAGGGGAAAACCTATAGGGGATGGAGGAAGAACATTCATCATGGGTACCGCTTTGTAATACCATCAGGAAGCAAATAGGTCAAGATATTAATATCAACAGCAGACCCCATTGTCCAGGGACTCAGGGTCTTTATAAAATAGGGTGGTTGAAATGCTGACAGGATTCTCGTTTCTGTTTCCCATTGTGCCAACCCGGTGGTGGCCAAAATATGGGACACCATGAGGTGAGAGCCACTTTACCGTATGACCACAGTGCAGAGCTGCCTTAGCAGAAGCAGCGAGCAGTTACCACCAGCACCAGGCCTCTAGACTTCCTCATGGTGGTTCAATCACATAGTGTACATGGGACTTTTCATTTGCTCTGCAGAAAGGCAGAGTCATGTCTACTTCTCCCCTAATTCTGTAATAACCTATGTGGGTTCTTTTTCCTAGAGACCAGAATACAGGTCTCCTGCTTATTCAACTTCGACCTAGTGCATATTCAAAAACGTGTGCAAGAGCCCACAAGGTAAGTGACATAGTAGTAAAGACCAAAAATTTACTTTGAGAGTGTATAAGTGGCAAACTAAATAATTCATATAATCTCCATACAATACCACCCCCCTAATACTTAGCCACATTTTGTAATGTTTCACTGTAAAGATAGCATTATTTCACGTTGAAGACAGAAGATAAGATTTCCGCCTTCTGTGAGTTTATCATCTAAAGTGGGATATATAAACATATACAAAAATGTAAAACTATTAGTTTTTGAAGATTTGAAGATAAATAAAACTGTAAAGGAAAACTGAAATTAATGGGAACAATTTAAGTTTGATATAGTTTGTCAAAGAAGACTGACAGTCATGTCCATATTTATCCTGCATTCATTCATTCAAAATATCATTCATCCAAAAACAATGTACTGCATGCCTACATGTTGCTGTGTTTCAGTCTGTGTGCTAGGTAGTGGGAGTTACAGAGATGAAAAGATAGACTACCTTTCCTAGAGGTAAACATAAGCTAGCTTATGAGAATGTGGTATACACAGTTATCAAACTGCCCAGAGGAAAGTGGGAGCAATTTTGATTGGGTGGGGGAAGGTGAAAAGAAAGGGATACATAACATGACTATTGAAGAATGAGTGGAAGTTCAGCAGGCGGATGCAAAGGGAATTCCAGGAAAGGCACAGGCAAAGCAGAGAGGTATGTGATAGCATCAGGGTGTTCAAGTAACTATGAGTATTATGAAAATAAACACAAATTCTTACAACTCCCTCCTTTGAGTCTATGTTCCACATTTGGGGATGCCTGTTCTCTATTCCTTCTCAGCCTAACATTCAGTAAACATATATCGAGCACCTACTGTATATCAGGCATTGTGTTATACGTAGGGAATACTAAGGGAAATAGGACTTGGTCCCTCCTCTCCAGGACGCCAGCACAAGAAACCTATTCCTGCCAGAGCAAGGTTCCATGAATTTAGAGGGAGCCTTGAACTAAGGCAGATGTGATCCATCCCTGAGTACTGCTGACACACACTACTTCCCCCGGGAAATTGCCTTCATGCATATCCACAACTCCAGTCTGCCTACCACGCCACCCACCCACCGTAGCTGCTTAGGAAGCAAGAAACCACAACCTCGGGAGTTCCTGCCCTAGGCTAGGTCTAGGATTTTTATCTTTAAGTGCATGACCCTATTTCTTTATGGATGCCTTCCTAAAGCACTGTGGTTTTCTTTACCCCTCTCTAATCTCTAGATTTGTTAGGGATTCGTATTCACTCTATCCTGCCCAGCCAAGGCATTACAAAAGCAAGTTCATCTAACCTGAGTTCAGATTCAAGCCCTACCACCTACTGGCTTGGACAAGCCACTTAAACGGCCTCATTTGTAAAAAGGGAAACATAGCATCTATCTTATGGGGTTGTTGAGAGTATTAAATGAGATCATCTATGCAAAGTACCCAATACAGTGCCTGTCGCAGAGTAATTATCTAATGTTACTGGTTTCTTCTTTCTTTTTCCTCTTTAGCACCCTGTAGACAAGGACAGTTCAAATCTAGCCACCCTCTGGGCCCACTGCAGATAGTTTATATTGACCCACCAACTGAAATAGAATGGAGAAATATGCAATAGCCCTTTTAGGCAATAGGAAAATGTGGTCTTTTAGAGGCAGGTCCTCTAATTAGCGAAGGAAATCAAAACTTGTACACAGCCACAAGGTATGCTTTCAATGACAGGTTCCATTCTTGGTGCTCTCGTGCGCATGAGTAAGTCGTCAGCCTCCCAGATAAATATTACAGAGACACAGGGCCCAGCTCTGTATGTACACAGAACCATGGTCTACAGACTTCTTCTCCAGTGGGAGGAAGTTAGGCCCTTGTTAAACCTGCTGAATCAAATGGCAATGGACTGTGCTATCTGAGTAAGAGCCTGCTGTCTTTGTCACTTAGTCTTCATAGCCTGCGGCAGAGCAGCAAATAGAACTGGCAGCTCCAACAAGGCCGTATCTCACTTTTTAACCACGCACCAAGAACTGGAAATGCAGAAAGGTAGAAAGGTAGGCCCCCAGAGGACCTTATTAATTCCTTCCAGGATGAATTTTCCCCGGGAGGGATGACTACAACTCTTGTCTAATATATTATCTACCAGCATGTGTGTTGAGGGACTTCAGAATCCCTGTCTCAGATCAGTTTTTCTGCCCAATTAGAGGGAATTTGCTATGTCTGACTCTCAGCTAAGGAAGGAGCTGCCAGGCCCTGTCTCTGCACCGAGGAGAAGTGATTTCACTTAAGTTATATGTCAGAATCTCTCTAATTAGGTATCCAGTCCTGGGGAGCACGTGTCAGCCCTGTAGCAGTAGGTACTCTAGAAAACAGTTCTTAGGCTTATTCATACTTCCCACACTCTGTACCTACAACTCCTTTTCAACGTCCACCTGCAAGTCAACTCATATTTTTATTCCTAGCCGTGGTTGTTGATTCTGAGGCTTGGGATTACTTTTGTCAATGAGGACGGGAAAGAGAAGAAATATTGCAAATGAGGTCATCAGGTAATGGTGGGTTCTGACTATGAGAGAATTGAGGACCTCAGCCAATCCTGTATGTTATATGGATAATTTAATAAAGATAAAGGGCAGGCCCATCTCTCTGAACATATTTGATGGGAAAGCAAAGATTTAATGATAATGGGTGGTGAGGACTGTGGGTAGAGTTGTTCAGAGAACAAGTCAAGTCCTGTGGGTAAAATCAGGTGATTCAGGAAATAAAATCCATGAACTCCCACTGTGGAGCATGTCTTTGAAATGAAGCCTGAAATGTCTTGGTTTAGCAGGGACAACTCTTCATATCCACAAAACTTGGCTGGACATCATTCCTCTATTCCCGCCTTCCTGACTCCCTAGTCCTTCTCACAGGGTAGGGAGTATTAGGGTTCTTCCAGATTTGCCTTGCGGAAATGTGCAATATACAGGGACATGTTAAGGCAGAATGCAAGTGTCTAGACCCCACTTAGTTTAGTGGAGGGGCAGGGGTCCTGGAGCCAGGCAGAAATAGAAGTAGGCAACCAGTAGAGGGAGAACCAGAACTGGTTAAAAAGAAATCATGACCCCCTGAGTGAAACATTGGAAGTTCTTGTAAGTAAATCTAAAGCATTCATCCACTTTAGTTTTAACTCTTGCTATCGTGGTAAGCCTTCCTTTCATGTTTATATAGTAATTAATTGTATTTTTATTCTATATAACCTGTATATAATTTTAAGCAAGATATACCTAAACATTTACAGGCAAGATAAGAAATTTGGTATTTTGGAACAGTTCATTTTTTTTTCTTTTTCTTTTCTTAGTACTCACTGGTTATAGCAAGTTCATTTTCTTAATAACAGAGATTTAATGAAGTTAATAGTCTTTCAACTTTAGGTTGAAATTTTTGCTACACTCCAGCTACCGGTGAAAGGCAGGAATTGATAGTAGAAGAATGTACTTTGTTTTGTGTGGAACAGAAACTGTTTTAGATTAGAAAAATGTGTTCTCTTTGATTTTAACTAATGCCATTTGCTTCTGTAACCGTGCTTGCTTTTAGTTGTTAGTCAAATATAGTTAATCAAAAAAAAAAAAAAACAGGGCAGGAGTAACTCCATGACAGGCGAACTTCCTAGAGTAGGCGTAAGTCTCAGTCCCGCTCCCCAAACGCAGATCAGAACTGGCGCTGGTGCGAAATTGAAAATCCTGAGGCTTGGGACCACCCAATCGGGGGTCAAAACAATCCTCCACTTTCAAAGGAACCAATGGACGAAGGGGGAAAGGGGATGGTGGGCTCAGCGTATCGTATGCCACCGGTGTCGGTGTCGTGCGCAACCGAAAGTATAAAAGCTTCACTTTTACCCCGGGGCGGGGTCCTGGTTCATAGGGAGGCCACTGCATTGGTGCTCTGGGACTTGGACCCTAGCTCGAGCTAGCAAATAAACTCCTTTGCCATTTGCATCCTCGGTGACTCTGCTTCTCTGTTCCTGGGGCCGAGGGGAACCGGTTCTTACACCAGATATAACCTATCTTCTTAGCACAGCTACACAAAACTCTATTTTAATTTAGTTTTTGTATGTAATATTCATTCTACTCTGTTCTTACTGCAAAAGTATTGAATCTGTCAAAAGAGAAAGGAAATATTGCTACTAACAGTAGAGGTGTATTCGGAGGTAAATGCAATACACTTATTGCATCAGACTCTAGTGGGATTTTATTTGGTTGTTTTAATGCTAGCCTTTTCCACATTAAATGCCTTTCTTGGGCATTTCCAGCCCATGAAACAAGGCACCATGGCACAGCATGTCTATGTGATGCTATTGTTGGATTTTGCACTTGCCTTCATCACTGTATCTCCAAGTTTACTTACCGAGAAGCGTGAGCTGTGTTAAGAAGGCATCTCACCTGTGGCAGATACTGCAGGCTAATTTCTAACTTCTTGCACATTGCGCTATGGTATCCACAGGTAGTTTGTTCTCAAACAAAGCACAGATGTGCTTTTCTTTAAACAAGCAGTTGTGAGTAATGCTTAAAATAAATAACCATTGAACTAGGACAGGGGTTTAATATTAAATAATTGGCCTGCTGCCAGTGCTCCTTTGAATACAGGGTGGTGCTGCTTAAAGCAGGAATAACAAGAGTAGGATGCTATTTTACAGGATGCTACTCAATACTCTGAAAAAATATTGGTCTACTAAAGTAGGGGGAAAAGTCAAATGAGTAGCTAGATACTAAAACCTGCCAGCTGAGTCAGAGGTGCAAGCCAGAAGTATGAAGTCAGTAGTCACGGTTGTAGAGGTGAGTAAAAGATGGGATTGGATCAATTCCCTGGGATACATAAGAAAGCAGAGATCCAACCTTTGGGCCTCATGAGCAGTAAAGACAAAGGCAGCAAAGAAAAAGCGCTCAAAGAGGAGGAAGGAAAACAGCACAGAGCAGTAGCATAACAGAGCCCTACATTTAAGAAGTTATTATCTCAAATCTAAAATGTAACTAGTTTTAGCTGTCATAATATTTCGGACCATGTGAATCAGAACAACTGAACTCACTACCTAAATTACTTCATTTTAGGTGTTCCAAATGGCTGTTGGATGTGATATTTATAAATACATTACAGTTAAAGGGCAAGTATATTTCCATTTGACCTGTCTTAAACTCTTTCGGTTTTAAAACAAATGGTGAACTGGATGATAATTACTAGCGATAATATTAGCCTAATGACGGACACATCCACAATGAAATCCAGAATTAAATTGACCTTGATGTCCAGTTTCAATTTTTGCCAAGTCAAACGCATTTGAATCATACTAAAAAGGAAAAAAATGAGCTATTTCTCTATTACCAGCATTTTTCTCCACCTTTCCTTTTAATAAACCAGTTTTTATCTTTCATCATTTCATCAGCTCTTCAGTGTACAGCTCATTCCCAGAGAAATGAGAGGGAGAAATGCTGACCTCTGTTTTCCACCCTACTCAAACCACTTGTAACTTCAACTTCCGTCACACAATTGCGTACCCCGATATCAGAGGAGTCTCAGTTTTCTGCACCATTTTCTATGGGAAATTTTTTTTCTTTTTTTTTTTTTGGAGACAGAATCTCACTCTGTTGCCTGGGCTGGAGAGTGCCGTGGCATCAGCCTAGCTCACAGCAACCTCAAACTCCTGGGCTCAAGCAATCCTACTGCCTCACCCTCCCTAGTAGGTGGGACTACAGGCATGTGCCACCATGCCCGGCTAATTTTTTCTATATATTTTTAGTAGAGACGGGGGTCTCACTCTTGCTCAGGCTGGTCTCGAACCCCTGAGCTCAAACGATCCACCTGCCTCAGCCTCCCAGAGTGCTAGGATCACAGGCGTGAGCCACCAAGCACAGCCTGTGGGAAATTTTTTAGAGCAAGCCTAACAGAACCACCAGTGGTTCCTCAGAGAATCCCAAGGTGTGAATTTTGTCGATCCTGCTATGGTTCACAATGAAGCACGTTGGATTTTGTGTCTTCCATTTGCCATGGCGCTCTGCCTTCTACGTGGGAGAGACATGGGCAGCATGTATATACTAATCTGTGTAGCTGCGGTTAAATGTATAATGGAAACAGCAATTTGTTGTGATTTCTTTCCTTTGGTTAGGAATGGGGTTGAGAGTGGGGGAACATTAACTCTTATCTGAGTATTTGTGAAATGGCTTGCTCTCATCCATTCCTCTGTCATTTTGATAATCTTTTGATTATTACTGAATTTTAATAATCACTTGCTAGATCAATAATTAAATATTTGCATCTCATTTAGCATTTGCTAAATTTGCATTTCCTAACACCTTTGCACTCATAATTCCTTTTCCAGGAAACACAAAAAAGCTAACTGGGGTGGGCATGCTGACTCACGCCTATAATCCCAGCACTTTGGGAAGCTGAGACAGAAGGATCACTTGAGCCTAGGAATTTGAAATCACCTGGGCAGCATAGCTAGATGCCCTCTCTAAAAAGAAAAGTGTGTGTGTGTGTGTGTGTGTGTGTGTGTGTGTGTGTGTAAAAAGCTGGGCATTGTGACACACACCTGCAGTCCCAGCTACTCAGAAGGCTGAGAACGCAGGAGGATCACTCAAGCCCAGGAATTTGAGTTGCACTTCAGCCTAGGTGACAAAGCAAAACTCTGTCTAAAAAAAAAAAAAAAAAAGGTATACAGCCTGTACATCCTATTATCCTATTTCTGGGATTATTTACATCTTTGCTCCTCAGAGTTTGGCCTGTGGACCAGAACTGGCATCATCTGGGAACTTGTTATAAACACAGAATGTCAGGCCTCATCCCACACCTGCTGAGTCAGAATCTGCATTTTTTAAAAATTTCCGGGAGATTAGTAGGAGCATTAATGTTTGAGGATAACTGCTGTAAGCAACATGTTGCCAAAACCAATTCCCAGTACCATTGCATGCAGAATTCCTTCTCAGGCCCCTGATTTCCTTCCAATGTGAGAGACAAAGCAACTTGAACCAATCTATTTCTGGGAGGCTCCAGGTAGTAATTGTCAAGCTTAGTTGCTCATCAGAATCACCTGGAGAGCATGTTTTAAAAACAGAGATTTCAAGACCTTACTCTAGACCTCTTAATCAATAACGCATTGCTCTGGAACTCTAAAAACAGCTTTAATACCTTGGACTCAGGTTGCAGTGGGCCTACGATTTTCATAGTCACCAAGGGAGAGCTGTAACAGTGTGGGGTCCATGGCACTTCAGAACAGTTGTCGATGAAGGAGAGCTGTCATCTCTTGGGATCCAATTTGTGTTCAGAGTGGGGGATGGTCTAGACCTCTAATATCGATCTAAAAATGAGGGTGACTAGGATTCCTTCTAAATTACACTGGAAGCAACTAGCTAAAGTGGTCAAATGGATAACTTTAACTAAAAATGTAATTTCATAGACCATTATATCCTCTGTCTGTACGAATCCTAACTAGAAATTATATGAATCCTTACCTGCACAACTGAGTTTCTAGTAGCAACTAGAAATCTTATTTTTTTAAAAAAAGTTTATGTGGAATAAAACAGTCCGAAGAAATTTGTCTTTATTTTGATAGATTTTCTAAGAATTTTTATGTGTGTATGTGTGTGTTTGTGTGTGTGTTTTAGAATGGTGACTTTTTAAAAATTGTGATGAAATTCACACAACATAAATTTACCATTTTAAAATGTGCAATTCAGCAGCATTAAGGACCTTCACAATATTGTGCATCTAGCACCACTATCTAGTTCCAAAGTATTTTCTTCTCTTTTTTTTATTGTATTTTACTTTATTTTAAACAGAGACAGGGTCTCACTCTTGCCCAGGCTGGTCTTGAACTCCTGAGCTCAAGTGATCCTCCCGCCTCGGCCTCCCAGAGTGGTAGATTTACAGGCATGAGCCACCACACCCAGCCTAGTTCCAAAGTATTTTCATCACCCCAAAGGGAAACTCTGTACCCAGTAAACAGTCACTCCTCATACATGCTTTCCCCCAACCGCTGGCAACCGTTAATCTACTGTCTCTATGGATATGCCAATTCTGGATGTTTCATATAAATGGAATCATACAATATATGACTGTTTGTGTCTGGCTTCTTTCACTTAGCATGTTTTTGAGGTCACTTGTGCTGTGGCATGTATCAGTACTTCATTCCCTTTTATGGCTGAGTAATATTTCATTGTATGGATAAACCATATTTTGTTTATCCATTCATCAGCTCATGAATATTTGGGGTGTTTGTGCCTTTTGGAATAGAGCAGCTATGAATATTTGTGTACAAGTTTTTGTTTGAACACCTGTTTTCACTTATTGTGGGTACATACCTAGAAATGGAATTGCTGGGTCATGTGTAATCCTATGTTTACCTTGTTGAGGAACCAACACACTGTTCTCCACAGCAGTGTAACATTTTACATTACCACCAGCAATGTACGTGCGTTCCAGTTTCTCCACATCCTTGCCAACATTTATTGCTTACTGTTTGGGGGTTTTTTTGTTTGTGTTTTTGTTTTTTAAATTGACAGATAAAATTGCATGTATTTACAGTATACAACATGATGTTTTAAAATACATTGTGGAATGACAAATTTTAGCTAATTAACATATGCATTACCTCACAGTGTTACCATTTTTGTAGAGACAACACTTTACATCCACTCTTTTAGCATTTTTCAAGAATGCAATATATTATTAACTATAGTCATTATGTTGTACTATAGATCTCTTGAACGTATTCCTCCTATCTAACTGAAATTTTGTATCTTTTGAACATCCTCTCCCCACCCACCCCCCACTTTTCTATGAATTTTCAATAAACATGTATCAAATAAAAGAGGTAAATCAGCAGATTTCAAATTCTGGTGTTCTCTGAAACATTTGTGAAATTGATTTTTTTTTTAAATAGAAACGCTAGGGTCACACACTAACCCTGGAGATTCTAATTCAGTAAATGATGATTCTGTGATGCTCTCCAGTTGGAGAATCACTTTGTTAAATGATCAAATGTTTGTGTAAATATATAAGGAATGATCTTACAAATTATTATGTTTTATTTTTTGTAGATTTAGTAAAAAAGGATGTCTTTACCACGATTTTACTTACGTGATTGAAAAGTAAGAAATTTTTTTAACGTAAGACTGAGTTTTATATTAATGTAGTAACAATAATTTACAATCATTACTTATTCACTGAATTCCTATTAGCATGCTTGTGTTTGGCTTGACACTGGGCAGTTTTAGCATTAAGCAAAATGTGTAGACACTATAACTAACTTTTCTGAAACGTGCAAGAGAAAGAGAGAGTCCTAGTCTCCTCCTTCAATTTAATTGGATAAATAAAGTAAGCCTCATTTACATATGTGTAGCCTCAAATCCTATATTATTCCCTCTAATTTAAGGAAGACACACAAGAATTTTTTTTCCCTACATAATTCTTCTCAAATTCTACATGACTATAGCTAAGTTAGTTAGAAGTTATAAATTTACCAGGAAAGTCCCGACATCAAGTATTCTACTAAGTCATCTTTTTCTATATTTTATATTTAATCTTATACACATTTTTTTAATTGTGAAATTTATTAAAGATATAACTAAACAAAATCTGACTTTTACTTTTGTAAGATAAAGATCTTTATAAAAAAATTTAAAATATAAGGCTATCAAACGTATAGAAGTCCGTAGCCTCTGAAATATTTACAAGAGCCTTTGAAAAGCTATGAAATTGTCTAATTCTATTTAATTAAATAGAATTTATTTATTCCAATTAAATTACTTATTCTAATTAAATCATGTTTAACCACTAGATATATCCCTTAAGTGATTTTATTAAACTTTAAGGCAGGGTGGTGGGTGGAAGAGCCTAAATGCTCCAGATTGCCATGCTTGGTGAAGTCAGTAGGTGAAATAGAAGGGGTGAGAAGAAAATGTTTAATAGTGGGTGAGGGCACCACTTTTTAGTGTCTGTGTGCTAGCTGGGCCTCAAGGGTAATAATTTGAAATAGACTCTTTCCTCTACGGCAGGAATTTCTTGAGTCTGTCCCCTGAAGCATGGTAAGACATACAGAGCATGTGGCTGGTAACAGTGACTCAAATTTAAGGACTGACAAGACAGGAAATGTGTGAGGGAATAATATGAAGGGAATATGTGAAGGAATAAACCCCGGAGTTCATGAAGGGAAGCATTCCATTATAGTGAGAAATCTAAATTCCAGTGTACATCCGTTGTTACTGATTCTGAAGGATCTTATTCTTATTACTTTTTTTTTTTTTTTTTTTTGAGACAGAGTCTGGCTCTGTTGCCCGGGCTAGAGTGCGGTGGCGTCATCCTAGCTCACAGCAACCTCAAATTCCTGGGCTCAAGCGATCCTCCTGCTTCAGCCTCCTGAATAGCTGGGACTACAGGCATGTGCCACCGTGCCCGGCTAATTAATTTTTTTTCTATATGTATATTTTTTAATTGTCCAGCTAATTTCTTTCTATTTTTAGTAGAGATGGGATCTCGCTCTTGCTCAGGCTGGTATCGAACTCCTGAGCTCAAGAAATCCGCCCGCCTGCGCTTCCCAGAGTGCTAGGATTACAGGCGTGAGCCACCGCGCCCGGCCAAGGATCTTATTCTTTCATCTATTAATATTCTGGAAAGAACTGCTTTGGAATAGCACAATGAACCTGGGCTTTATGCTCATACATCCTTCTTGGTAGTAAAGCAAGGTGTCTAGCCTTGAACAATTTCTGAAAATGGTTCCATATCTACAAACGGAGGACAATAATTCACACCATGTTAGTTGCTGGAAGAATGCATTAATATGTATGGAAATATGTGTAGAAAGAAAATGCCTGAAACATAGTCAGCGCTCAGTATTTTATAACTATGTTTATCTATTTGACTTTGGTGATACTTCCTTACCTAGGCAAAGTCATGGTTCTAGTTTTTAAGTTTGAAAAGAGGAAAGAGAAATAAATAATGAAGAGTATCTTTTTTACAGGTCATATCTGAGGCACCGACCATCTCAAAACTTGGTAAGAAAATTATAATCTTTATCTTCTGAGGCTTGGCACTAAAGGAAAAAAAATTTTAGCAGAAAATTATAATTTTGTTAATAGACCAAATATATAAAATAACTAAAGCACTTTTCCTTTTCTAGAAAGTAAGGTATGATTGGGAAGAATACGGCTGCCCATTAAGACTTGAGTTCACAGAAAAGTTTCAACCTGTGATTCAATTGTAAGTATATTCTCATCAAAATTTTTAACTTATTTTGAAAGTTTCAAGATAAAAGTATTAATTAATCATGCATTTATTAATACATTTTTGAGTACTTAGTATGTTGGTTTTCAGTGCTAGTTATACCAAGCTAGGCTGCCCTGGTCTTTACATCCTGGGGGAGATTGCAATTTGGCAGCTGAGACTCAAGTGGGTAAGAGAGCTGAGAGCCTTCTCAAGCCTGCCGGCAGCATCTGAGCCCCTCCTTTACCCTCTCTAAATCTCTCCCCAAGCTCCTACCAGCACCCCTGCCTATTTTGTAGGGACTCTTCCCCAAGTGACGTGATTTTTCTTTCTCTGTGCCAATAATAAATGAAAGCTTGTAAGGAAAAAAACTAGATTGCTGATAAGTACATTAAGGAGATTCAGAAATAATATCCCTGACTTAATTCTTATAAACATTTCATAATAATAATATGAATAAAATGCTAATAGGAAGGCTTTTCCAAGTAATTTTGTATTTGTTTGCTTTCCTCTCTGACTTTTTTATTCTTGGATTATGGTTATAAAACTAACAGGGCTCTTATAAAATTTAAAATATAGAAAAAATATAAGATAAATGACCCATATTTCTAAATGTTTTGCTATTATATTATCAAATATCTATTTATGTATATATTCACACACTGGTCCGGTTATGCCATTAGGATAAATTACTGGAAGTAAAATTTAGATGCTAATTAATTAATTAGCTTTGAGAATCAGGCAGACTTTAATTAATTAAGCTTTGAGAATCAGTGGCAGGGGTGGTGGCTGGGAAATTAGTCTATAGTCTAGGCCTCCGGATTACAATAAATGTCTTTATAGGGAATGGCTCAGGAACATGTGGGGCAGAATTTTTCACCATCAAATGCGAGTAAGAGTGAAGCCAAGTCCTGGGAGTGTGATCCAGCTGGGAACATAAGTCTCACAATCCCAGTTGGATCATGGTCCCAGGACTTGCTTCACTCTTATTCGCATTTGATGGTAAATCTATTTTTGTCCCATCCCCAACTAGAATTTGGTGCCACAGAAACCACCCCAGAGGAAACAGTGAAACACAATTATTCTGTTACCATGCAGGGAGTTCAAGAGCAAGTATGATAGGTGTTTTAAGGATATCCAGGATTTGTTTAAATCAGGTATGTAAGACATACAGATGCAGAAATGACTATCATGAAGGAAGAAGTTTATTATACATACAGATCCCTAGGAACTGGAGGCAAGGCATGCCACACAGGGCCACATGGGGAAACACCAGGGTCTGTCAGAAGGCAGAGGGAGTGCAGGGAAAATGTGGGCAAGATGCCTTTTGTAGTTTCTGTAGGAAAGAATAAGCAAGGTAAGGTAAGTAGGTTTGGGATTGGCTAGTCTGAATAATTTCAGGGGGCTCTGGGGAATAGGAGCTATCCCTAGTTGTCTGAAATCTGGTTCTGGGTGATTAGGGCAGGTGGATAGCAGCCCAGATTATGAGAGCCCATAAAGGAGGCGGTTGGGGGTAAGGGCTCTAGACTGGTTGGTTTCCATATGAAAGGGGCTCCTGGAAGAGTTGTTTACTGTCTCTAGGAATTGGCCAACCCAGGCAGTCCTTCTAGGGTCAGCAAGGCCCTCCAGATGTTAAAGCATCAAAATGCAGAAAATAAAAGACATGGTTAATACAATGGGCTATCCACAAGGATTGTGTCTAGTGGATTTGTAGATCAACAGAGAGTTCTCTCCTTCCCAGTTTCAAAAGTGGAACTGCCATAGTGGAGAAGTTACAAATTATAGGGAAGAGTTGCCAACTAGTGACATTTCTGAATTTCCCAGGTTTAATTAGTATCATATCTTACATTAATGACCATTAATGAAAATAAATTATGCTTACATACATAGTATTTTTGTCATATATTTTCAATGAAATAAATAAAACATTATCAAAGACGATTATAAGCCCAGCAATTATGAGTCATGCGATTTTTCCTTATTGCCACTAGATGACACTGTAGCTTATTTCTCTTGTGAAGTTGAGGAAGATGCCAGTTCAGTTCAATTAAGATGTTTTTGTTTTTATTTTTATTTTAAGTAAAACATATGGGTTATAAGTAGTTCTTAATAATTCAAGAATTCAAGAATATGATGACTTTTGGAAGATACAATAAAACATCCTGCTTCTTCCAAAGCTGCTAGAATTAGAGCTTTGCTAAAGCTTGACCCAATGTCTGAAACTATATACAAAAGTGTGTGTGTGCCCACACATATGTGCATTTTTCTGTGGAGAGAGGGTGCAGAGCTCTCACCTGAACTTTAGAATTCTCTGTGGCCCTCCTCCCCCACCAAGAAAGGAGTAAAGGCACTAATAATCCAATGCCTAGCTAGTCATGCCTGTGTGAGAACTCACCTTCTGAGTTCATCTCTTTCTGATTTCTCAAAACTAATTAGGATGGAAAAAAATAACTTCTCAGATACCACTTTTTGACACTTAAAATTTTTGTGCCCAATTTGTGAGACTGGGACAATAACTGCTTTTTATAACCAGGGTTAGATGGGTAGCAAGTAGTAGCAAACCTGAAAAGCCAGATGCAACTACTACAAGGGGAAGCAGAGATCTGGGCAGTGAAAAACAAGACACTGTAAAGGGCCTATTATTTTTTATGAACAGACATAGAGCTGGAATCAAGAAATTATATCAGAAAGTGGGGCAACAGTCCAAAAGTCAGCAGCCTAGAAGCAAGTGCCTGAGACCAAGATCCCAAATGAGAATTTCCTCCCAAGAGGTGTGGGGGACAATTTCATTCAGAAATAAGGGTAATAACTGATGGAAAAGGAAGATATGTAACAAATTTTAAAGTCACAAGTTCTGGTACCCAAAGGTATGACTTTATCAATAACTGAACTTTAGTTTTGGTCTCAAGCCCCTATTTTCATATGGTAGCAGGAAAAAAGGAATCTTACATGAAGTACCACATCTGTTTTAAAACTCACTGAGTTTGATTGAGGTAAATACTCTAAGCTCAATGGGACTTATGTATCCAGCCCCAGGATCATGGGCGGGGTATTATGTCCATGTTGCACTCTTTGCCCTTGGTAGAAGTCACCTTCCATTCTGGGAGCAAGGACTGTGTGTGACGTCGCTCCAGTGAGCTTACACACTCCTGCTTCTCAGCCCCACCTCAGCCTACCAAAGCTGCTGCTCCTTTGAGATTCAGCCACATCTTCCAGCTGGTTCCTCCTGGAGGACCTGCCAGCATCTCAGTTCTCACTGTAGTAATTCAGTGGTTTCACTCTCTAGTACATAATAAGCAACCAATGAACATTTGTTGATCAAATGACACCTTTCTCCATTCATCGAATCCTTCCATCTTTCTCCTGGCTAACATCCAGAACAGCAGGGCTCAGGATACCCTCATCTTATCGATATATGGTCCCTATCAAAGTGAAGAGAACATATGGTTCCAACAGTTTAAAAAGTGAACATTTCCTACTTTGTTACTATTAGGTGTTTATTGCACCTATTTTCACACCTGTTATTCCATTCAGCTGTCAAAGTAGACCATACAGTAGGCACTATTATTATTTGACAGATCAGCACAATGAGACTTTCCCAGGGTCACAAAGCTGTTTAGTGATAAAGACAGCATTTAAACTTAAGCCCATTTAACTCAAAAGCCGAACTCTTAACCCCTCTATTTTACACTAAACTATTATTTTTGTGATTGTTGTTTCTTTCAGATTCAATGATAACGGATTTATTCAAGATGTTGAAGCAAATTTCATAGTGTGGGAAATACATGGCAGGGATGACTATAGCTTTAATACTACTATGAAGCAGGTATGACATCTTTGAATCTAACAGAATTTAGCATGCAGTTAAACATGTCTTTCAAATTTAAAACTATATACAAATAATCTAAAGAAAATAGAACCAGGCAGCAGTGAGTAGAAAAAACATGTTTTTTCTATATTAAATTATTAATATAGAAACCTCTATATTAAATTCTATGATTACTAAAATTCATTTATGAAAAAAGCAGCCATTGTCACATAAAACAGCCCACAGGAGTCAGAAAAAATAAAATAAAGTTCATAGTAGGATGATGCAATTATATATGAATATTTTCTTTTCTCTCCAAACTGTATTTAATATTTGATCATTTATGAGTCTGCCTTTGGCCTTAGAACATTCACTACATGTATACTAAATCAGATGAACACCCTTTAGGCTTCATCTCACTTGACTTCTCTGAATCATTTAACTCTGCTGACCTTGGCTTCAACGTTCCTACTCTGTCCTGGTTTTCTTCCATCCTCCCTGACTGGTTGATCTCAGCCTCCTTAATGAATCCCCTTATTCTGTCCTTTCACATTATAGAACACAGCAGAATGTCCTTACCATTCCCAGTCACCACACTTCACCTCCCTGTGAGGGCCTTTCTGCCCTGAGGGCTTCCTATCACGATGGCACCTCTCTAGGAGTTACCAGCATTGATTCCTAAGATTGCCCAGAGATCTCACTCTCAAAACCAGAGCTGTCTCCTTCCAAAATAATGTTCTTATCTACTAGAGAACTTAATTATCCAAGAAGTATAACCCATCTAGATGGCAGCCAAGAGAAATGAGTTCCACCTTCCACCCTCCAGAGTACTGCAAGAATTAATTGTCTTGACAGGGCAGGGTGGCTCATGCCTGTAATCCTAGCACTCCGGGAGGCTGAGGCAGGAGGATTGCTTGAGCTCAGGAGTTGGAGACCAGTCTCAGCAAGAGTGAGACCCCATTTCTGCTAAAAATAGAAAAAATTAGCTGGGCATGGTGGCACGATCCTGTAGTCCCAGCTACTTAGGAAGCTGAGGCAGGAGGATCACTTGAGCCCAGAAGTTTCAGGCTGCAGTAACACTACTACACTCTAGCCTGGGTGACAGAGCAAGACCCTGTCTCAAAAAAAAAAAAAAAAAAAAAGAACTAATTGTCTTTCAATTATGTAGCCAAATAAATCCATTCCACCACATATTCCTCCTATAGTTGTTCAGCACAACGTCTGGTCTACTTCCTCCCCTGTAGTCTCTCCCCTGAACTATTGTATCCATCCTCTACTTTGGTGCAAATTCCCATTACTCTGTTCCTTCTCAAACATTTCCATTATACCTTAGTGTTAAATGCTCCTAGATCTTTCTTCAAGAAAAGTTCTGCAGAGGATATTCTATTCCATACAGTTTTATCAAACCAAGGGTATTCTTTCTCCCACCCCATAAACTTAAGGATGAGATTTTGGCTTGATGTTCTCCCTAATCCCTGGTATCATTTCCAGATCATTATCTATTCACTCTAAGTAAAAATCCCTTCGTTTGAGGTTCCTGCCACTCGATCAACAACTGCCCTATCCCTCCTTGCTGATGTCATATACTCAGAACTTGATCATTTTTCCTCATGCTCTGTGAATGATTACAGCTGACTCCTGAATTCTGCCATCCATCATATAGGGGTATTGCTGGGAAGGTTTCTGAACAGGGACTACATTTCCCAGACCCATTCGCATCTAGGTGGGGCCATATGACTTGTTCTCATGACTAGAATATGAGCAGAAGTTATATGTGTCATTTCCAGATGAAGTGCTTAAGAAGGAATCACATAAACTCCCATGCTTCCCATCTTACCTCACATCAGTTTATTACAGCAACCATTAAGGATGGAGTAGATGAGAGCTGGATGAAAATGATCCAGTGGAGAGACTTCAAGGAGCCACTAGATAGAAAAAAGCCTGGATTCCTAATTTACTGTTTTGATGAGAGTCACCCATAAGAACCACCTAACCAGGGATATCTGCATTGGACTTCGTGTGACCAAGAATTAAATTTTTATTGTGTAAATCCTCTGAGAGTTATGGTTTACTATTGTAGCTTGACTAATGCAGCTCCCCCTATTAAAACTGCATTTAAATTCAAACATTTCAGCCTCTGACCTCACCCGCCCACTCCCTTAGCTCTCTCACTGTTACTCCCACTACTCTGCCGTCTCTCACTTTTTCTCACATAATCTCATCATCTACTATATTGAACCCTCTGCTTTCTCCCTCTCCATCACTCTCATCTTTCTTCCCTTCTTTCCTACCCAGCTTGAGCTCCAGAGTTCAGTTCTTCTGCCAGCCAAGATCTATTTCTCTGTATCTCTGTCTCTCCTTTTCCCTAGTGGTGTTTCTGTTCACTGTTAGGGCAACATAAAACGCTCCTCTTTCTGCTTACCTATACCTATATCTGAGTTGTTCAAGGCCTGTATCTGAGTTACTGATCACTTGGATAATAGAAAAAAACTAAAATTGCAATAATTGGCATTAGGAACTCAATTATTGGGTGTAATGGCTAAAGAGAGACTTATTCAACTAAAAGAGATGTCAATAAAATATCCATAATTAACATGAAGAGATAAAATGATACAAAATAGAGAGAAAGCAAAAGGGACATAGAGGATTCAGTGCTATGATCTAAGAATTGGAGCCCTAGTAATAAAGGAGAGAGATTGGAGGGCAGAAGCAACATTTTCCAAAACTGCTGAGAAACATCAAGCCACAGGAAAAAAAGTAATCTGCATTCAGAAACACCATAATAACATTTCTAAAATCATATCATCATTCTTCTGGTCTTTGTCCTAATGGACTTTGGAGCCTTTTGCTTCTAATATATTCAAGTCTGACGGAGTCAGGAAAAAATGTCTTTAGCCATATATTTGGGATTTATTCTTGTGAATTATTTGCTTTCTGTAATCTCTAAACTGGATGACTCTGATGTTTAATAAAAAAAAAAAAATCCATTATTGACCTATAAAGAAGACAAAGAGAAAAATTTTTAAAGCGGCTGGAGAAAAAATTAGTTACTTTCAAGGTGTAACTATAAGATTTAAAGCTGACTTCCCAATAGAAATAATGAAAACCAGAAAACTAAACAAAAATATCTTTAAACATCCTTAAACTGCTAAAAGAAAATAACTTTCAACCTCAAATTCTATACTGAAGAAGATATCCTTTAAAAAAATGAAAGTGAGCAACAGATAATGCTTTAAAAGATATATAAAATTAGAAGAGAGAAAAAATTAAAGTAAAAGGAAATGAAGGATTGATTGAATAAAAAGGATTTGAGAGAAAATGACAAATACTGAAGATGGGCAATCCACAGACGAGTGGAAGGCCTGAAAAAGAAAAACAAAGGAAAGGAATGAAACCAATACTAACACTTTAATTCAAGAAAACATCTCCTCCTAAAAAAGATTTTTTTTTTTTTTTTTTTTTCCAGGGTTTTGTGAGGGTACAAACATTGTAGTTACACTTTATATCTTTGCCTCACCGAAATGCGGGTTAAAGAAATGCCCTTCCCTCCCTTTATTGCTCCCCGTGTCCTTTAGTTATAGATTTGCCCTCCCATCCCCCTAATCCCTAGTGAGTATTTCTGCCATGTGATCAACCTAGTGTTGATCAGTTAGTACCAATTTGATGGTGAGTACAAATGGATCCTGTTCTTCTGCTCTTGTGGTGGTGCCCCACTTTGGATAATGGGCTTAAGTTTAATCCAGGAAAGTATAAGAGGTGCTAGATCACTGTCGTTTCTTATGATGAGTAATATTCCATTGTAAACATATACCAAATTTTGATAATCCACTCATGGATTGACGGGCACTTGGGTTGTTTCCACATTCTTGCAATAGTGAATTGTGCTGCCATAAACATTCGGGTGCAGATGTCTTTATCGTAGAATGTTTTGTGCTCTTTTGGGTAGATGCCTAATAGTGCTATTGCTGGATCGAATGATATTTCTATTTTTAGCTCTCTGAGGTATCTCCAAATTCTTTTCCACAGAGGTTGCACTAATTTGCAGTCCCACCAGCAGTGTAAAAGTGTTCCTGTCTCTCCACATCCTCGCCAACATTTGTTGTATTGTGTTTTTTTGATAGAGGCCAATCTCACCGGGGTTAGGTGATACCTCATTGTGGTTTTGATTTGCATTTCTCTAATGATTAGAGATGTTGAGCATTTTTTTATATGTTTGCTGGCCATTATTCTGTCTTCTTTTGAAAAGTTTCTGTTCATTTCGCTTGCTCATTTGTTGATGGGGTTGTTTGATTTTTTCTTGTTGATTTTTTTGAGTTCTAGATAGATTCTGGTTATCAGCCCTTTATCAGATGTGTAGAGAGCAAATATTTTTTCCCATTCTGTGGGCTGTCTATTCACTCTAATGATAGTTTCCTTGGCAGTGCAGAAGCTTTTTAATTTGATTAGATCCCACTTATTTATTTTTGTTGCTGCGGCGATTGCTTTGGGGTTCTTCTTCAAGAATTCCTTGCCTAGGCCGATGTCGGAAAGGGTCTTCCCAACATCTTCATTTAGAATTCTTAAGGTTTCATGCCTTAGGTTTAAGTCTGTTATCCATCTTGAATTGATTTTTGTGAGAGGTGAAAGATGGAGGTCTAGTTTCAGTCTTCTGCATGTGGCTATCCAGTTTTCCCAGCACCATTTATTGAAAAGAGTTTCTTTTCCCCAGTGTATGTTTTTGTCAGCTTTGTCAAAGATTAGATTACCATATGCAGATGGTTTCATCTCTGGATTCTCAGTCCTGTTCCAGAGGTCAATGTCGCTATTCTTGTGCCAGTACCAAGCTGTTTTAGTTACTATAGCCTGGTAGTACAGTTTAAAGTCTGGTAAACTGATACCTCCCAGTTTGTTCTTTTTACTTAAGATTGCTTTGGCTATACGAAGTCTTTTCTGGTTCCATACAAAGCGTAGAATTATTTTTTCCAGATCTGTGAAGAACGATAATGGGATTTTGATAGGGATTGCATTAATTCTGTAGATCACTTTAGGTAGTATGGACATTTTAACGATATTGATTCTACCAATCCATGAGCAAGGTAGGTTTTTCCATCTGTTTACATCTTCTACAATTTCTTTTTTTAGTGTTTCGTAGTTCTCCCTGTATAAGTCTCTTACATCTTTTGTTAAATATATTCCTAGATATTTAATTTTCTTTGAGGCTATTGTAAAAGGAAATGCACTTTTGATTTGATCTTCTGCTTGACTGTTGTTGGCATATATGAATGCCTCAGATTTGTGTGTATTGATTTTGTAGCCTGAGACTTTGCTGAATTCATTTTGAAAGCGTATACCATGTACTTGAGAATATCAAACCAGAACCACTAACCCAAGCAGGCATCTAGGCAAAGACACGAGCAGTGTGTAAGAGAAATAAAATTAGATTCTCATCACAGAAAACATCATATTCAATAGTGAAAGTCTTAAAGCTTCTCTTTTCTTTGAGACAAGGTCTCGCTTTTTGCCCAGGCTCAAGTGCAGTGGCCTCATCATAGCTCACTGCAACCTTGAACTGCTGGGCTCAAGCAAACCTCCCACCTCAGCCTCCCAAAGTGCTAGGATTCCAGGCGTGAGCCATTGTGCCTGGCTGAAATTATCTTTTTTTTTTTTATTATGAACTATACTATCGGGTAACCAAATAGCAGATGAGGGGAAGCATCTCTTTATAGATTATTCCAGTTGATAAATGAAAAGGAAATGATAAAATTGGAACATCCCATTTTACAACCCCAATGAACTAATTGGACATAGACATTGAGCATCAATAGCTGGTAACATCACTAAGAGAAAATCAGACATTAACGTGCATCCTGATCAAAGACCACACCACCACCAAAGTCTTGCCAAAGAAAGACAGCTGCCACATGGGCTCCTGGATCTGGAGGACTTACTAGACTCAGGTTCACTCCCTGCATCATCAGACACAACTTACCAAACTTTCTTGTGTTAGAAGAAAAAAAAATAGAAAACTCTAGACCCAGATGATTTTCCTGAAGTCTACCAAACATTTAAGGAAAATATTTCTTTGGCCTTGTAAAAACTCTTCCAAAGAACTGAGTAGGCAGATGGTGGGACTTCCCAACTCATTTTGTGACTCTTAAAAGAGAAGAAAAATAATAAACATAGTTTCTAAACAAAATATTAGCAAATCAAACCCAGCAATATATTAAAGAATAATACATCCAGACCAAGTTTTATTTCATGAATGAAGAGTTGATATATTATTTTAAAATCAAAATAATTCATTATATTAACAGAATAAAGAAGAAAAGGCATAAAATTATTGCAATAGTTGAGGAATAGTTATTTGACTAAAAATTTATCACTTATACGTAACATTTTAAAAATAAATCTTAGAAAATTATAAATAAATAGTAACTTCCTTAACCTAATAAAATATAAATAGAAAAAAATTACAGCAAACATAGTTAATGGTGAGAATTTGAAAGCCTTACCTCGGAATCAGGAACAAAACAAGGGTGGCTATTATCACAACTTCTATACAATGTTGTTTCTGAAGATCTTTGTAATAAGGCAAAAAATAAATAAAAGGTATAAGAATGGGAAACGAAGAAATAAAACTCATATTCACAGGAGACGTAACTGTTCATGTGAAACAATTAGAATTAATAAGTGAGTTTAACAAGTTCCCTCCATACAAGGTCCATATACAAAAGTCAATTGTTCCCCTGTATAACAGCAAACATTTAAATAATGTAATTTTTAAAAACATAAAATTTTCAAAGGCAACAAAATATATTAAGTACTTTGGAATAAATGATATGAAAACTTCTACATATCCACATACATGCAATCTTTTGACAGAATGGTTGTTTGAGTGAAGCACAGACATGGAAGTCAATGATTGAGCTTAACAAGCACCTCCCATTAGAAGAAGTCTGGGGACCTCAGGTAAGAAAAACATTACCTTGCAAATTCAGAAATCTGGGCAATAAATGATGGAGAAAGAAGATATGTAACCAGTTTTGCAGTCACAAGTTCTGGTACGAAAAGGTATGACTTTGGCTTGCAAATATTTTATTTCAAATAATGAATTTGGCACTTGGTATTAACAAAAACTTGATGAAAATACTTTGGATTTAAATGTGTTTTGTTAAGTCAAAACCTATTTTTCTATTGAATTATATTGCAGTATTTCAAAATGCTTCACCTTAATGTCTGTTTCATCTTCTGTTGATTCATGTAAGCTCCATGAGGGATGGGAATTTTGTTTGTTTTGTTCACTGCTATATCACCAGCATCTAATCCATTGTAGGTGCTCAATAAATATTTGTTGAACTAATTAATTAATTATAGATTATGTACCTGTTATAAAGAGTATCATTCCACTTCTTAAAAATCATAAGGAATTAAACTAGTAGTGAAATCAGTTACAACAAAACTTACCCTCCTGACTTTTTGTTGAAGGGCATCCAAGGATCTGGAATTGGGGATAGGGTAAATATACTCTGCATCCCAAAATCTTACAAAGGGCACCTAAATGCCTACTATTCTGCCAAAAAAACATATTCCAAAAAAGCAGTGAGCCAGCTGGGTAATGAACAATCATGGAGCTTGCCTCAATCAGTGTAATCCAGTACAGAGGTTCTCAACCCTTAGCTTACATCAGAATCACCAAGAGGGCCTGTTAAAACAGATTGCTGAGTCCCATCCCCAGCGTTCCTGTTTCAGCAGATCTGGGTGGGGCCCAAAAATTTGCGTTTCTATCAAGTTCTCAGATGACATTGATACTGCTGATCTGAGAACTATATTTAAGAACCATTGAAATAATGGCTTACATTCTAGAAACATTCTGGAGTGCCATGCTGGTGACTAAATGTTCAGTTCTGCTGTATTAGAAACACAAAGGTCACTACCAAAAGGGTAAATCTAGTCTGGACTCTGAATATTATAGAAAGCAGGTACCTGCAAAGACTAGTTATATCCTGGTGAATAAGGCTGCTCTCACTGAAGGGTGTCACTGTATATTAACTCAGCATGGCAACCAGGGGTGCTCTCTTCCTGAAACGTGTACCTGAAATGAAGTAGACTTCCAATTCTTGGAGCTGCACTGATTGCTACATAGTCCTTCTGATTCTATAAGGATGAATGACACTTGCATAAAAAATCTGGGAAGTAGCTCTAGAGACTATAAATTCTCAGGGAAAAAAACTGAAGGACTCATAAGCAAAAGTGGCATTTTCACAGGTTCTTCCAAGTTGGTGTTGGAGATTGAGAAGGAAAGGCAGAAAATGGGGACCGAGTGGCTGGCTACATACATATAATACGGGATGGGATTTGAGTTTCTGGACATGGCTAGATTGAGAAGTCCTTGGCTAAAAATTGAGTATTATTCATGTGGCTAGGGGAGATTCGTTTTCTCTGAGACGAGATAACTTGATCAAGTGGACTTTCAAAGGAGAAAGAAGGGGGAAAGACAGTAATTGGAGGGGGAAATCTAATAATATAATGGGAAATACCAGATGTGACACAAAGACAGGAGCAACAGTCTGCAGGTCTCATCATTCACACTAGGAAACAGCTGAATAGGAAATTAGAGACAACATAAATATTATCATATAGCTATATATAAAAAACATACAACATAAAAAAACATACCAGGTGAATAAGTCCTTATTAGCAATGCTTTGTTGTGATGATAGGAGTACAGTTCCTGCACATATTTAGCACATGTCACATATTTTTTTTTCGATTAAGTTCTTGGTCCCATGTAGGGATGAACTTGTTAGACAAGAAGTTTCATAGTTCATTGTTGACCCATAAGAACCCTCCACAGAAAAATATAAGATGTTTTGTGTTTTCGACTTAGGATACATCAAAAAATAATGAGCCTTTTCCTTGATATTCATTCATCTACACTTGACATGTTGTTTTATAAATGTGCTGAAGATTGCAGTGGTAGAAAGGTAGACAAAGACAAGAAATGGTAGAAGACATAGATTAAAAAAAAAAACAAGACCATCACCATCACGATGGGTGGGATGAAAAGAAAAATAATAAACTCACACAATAAAATTTTAAAAAGGCCAGAATTATTTTTGCAGTTTATCAAGACATGTAATAATACTTTATTAAATTAAATCTAGTAAAGAGTTTTAAGGATGGCATTTGTGATTAAAATATAATTAAAGAAAGATTCACCTACATAAAAGAAAATGACCTGCTAAGAAGGAAAGTAGAGGAATTTTTAGTATGAAGGCAATATGCACCTTCAAAAAAAATTCACAAACAGGGAGGTAAATACTGAAGAGTATATAAATGAAGATAAAATGAGAGCTCTATGGGAGGGATTGCTGTGTATATCAGAGATTATGTAGCTAAATCAAAGAACTATATTGTGTGCTCCTGATTACCTCCCAAACCTGGTGAAGATAGAATATTGTATCTGCAATGCTACTGAACTGACAAATGTCATAATGCAAGGAGAGTGTGCAGGAAAGAATGAGAAATAAATACCACTTGGATAAATCCAGTGGCAGTTACTTACTCAAAGGCTATAGAAAGACTTTGGCCACAGTAAGAACACGTGACAGGGAGATGAGCAACACGATCCAGGACAGATGAAGTGCAAACTTCTAGACCCAAAAAGATTTACCAGGTGCATAGTTGTAGATGACACTCACTCTGAGTGAGGGTCACATCTGTCCTTTCAGAAGTACAGCAGTCACTCTTTAGGTGCAATCTTACATACATACGACTGGAACAATTTTACACACGAGCTAGTCTGGACAGTTGCTCTGTTATTATGGCCGTTTCCCTGGCAAACTTATAGATTGACACCATGTTCTTGCTCCCCCCACGTTTCAGCCTTTATCCTTCCACTTGGAATAATCGATCCTGATCTGTATCCACTGAGGCTCCTGTTCCTCGGTTCCCACTGCCAAACCTGGCTTTCTAGCATACAAGGGATCTGCTAGCCTGTATACAGCATTCCCTCAAAAATTCTCCCCTGGATGATTGGTCAGTTCTGGCATTATGGGTGCCAGGCATTCTCAGTTACAGTGTGCTATGGTTTGAATATTCGTCCCCTGCAAAACTCATGCTGAAATTTAATCCCCAATGTGGCAGGATGGAGAGGTGGGGCCTTTAAGAGGTGATTGGATCATGAGGGCAGAGCCCCCATCAGTGGATTAACGCATTCATATGTTAATGGTTAATGTGTTAATGGATTCATGGCTTATCATGAGAGTGGTATCAGTGGTTTTATAAGAAGAGGAAGAGAGACCTGATACAGTACGCTCAGCCCCCTTGCCATGCGATGCCCTGTGCCGCCTTGGTACTCTGCAGAGTCCCACCACCAAGACCACCCTCACCAAATGCAGCCCCTAGACCTTGGACTTCTCAGCCTCCATAACTATAAGAAATAAATTCCTTTTCTTTCTAAATTACCCATTTTCAGGTACTCTGTTAAAAGCAACAGAAAAGGGACTAACACAGAGTGAAAGCCCCCTCAGCTCAGCACAGGTTGTACAGGCTGTGTTCTCAGAGCTTCTAAAGCTCACACCACCCGGCACATGAGCCAAGTTATTGAGTCACTTACCCCACTTCCTTAGGGTTTCCTTCCATGAAAGATACCACCAGACAAGGCAGCTGTGGCAAAACAAGTGCACAAAACATTTGGATTACTTTTCTTCTTTTTAAATAGCTTTATTGAGATACAATTCAATAAAGATGAAATTCAATAAATTACATATACAACTTGCTCGTTTTTAGTATATTGGCAGAGATGTGCATCACCACAGTCAGTTTTATATTTTTTTATTGAATATAAAATCTTCAATTTTATTTTTTTATTTCAAAATATTAAGGGGGTACAAATGTTTGTGTTATGTAAATACTTTGTATAATACTTAAGTCATGGATTTGAGTGTGGCCATCACCATAATAGTGTTCATTGTCCCCAGTAGTTTTTACCCCTCATCCTCCTCCCACTTGTCCTTCTTGGTTTCCAATGTCCTTTCCAGCTCTTTGTGCCCGTGTACACCCATCATTTAGCTCCCGATCATTAATGGGTACATGTGGTGTTTGTTTTTCCATTCCTGAGGTACTTCACTTAGGATAATGGTCTCCAGTTCTCTCCAAGTTGCTGCAAAAGACATTGTATTCTGGCTGGGCGCGGTGGCTCGCGCCTGTAATCCTAGCTCTCTGGGAGGCCGAGGCGGGCGGATTGTTTGAGCTCAGGAGTTCGAAACCAGCCTGAGCAAGAG